ACTACTTACTGCAAGATTTATTACTTACTTAGTGCAATGCTTATCACAATATATACAAATTTAAAAAAAAATTAATTTTTTAGATTTAGAAAATTACTTCTCTTTCCTGGCATATTTCCTGGCTCTATTTTAGAAATTTATAAAATTTCTACGGCCACCTATTCCGTTACTTTAAACCCAGTTTTCTTTAATATTTGTGTTCTCCCCAATGAAACTTGGGTTTTGAATTAAATTTTAATAATTGAATTAATTTAATAATTTTAATTTAATAGATAATTTGCATATGTTTTTTATTAAAACAAAATTATCCCCAAAGCCTCCCCAACATTGCGATTTGTAATTTCGGGAAATTTTATAAATACCCAATTTTATTATTTCATCTATTTTTTACTACACTACGAGCTTCATCAAACATTTAAAGCAGAATTCTAACATAAAATTTGTTCCTAAAAATATGTTGTGTTCTGTTCTGTTCTAACCTAATTAGCTAACCTAAGAGCCTCTTTTCAAATTTATTGCTTTAAAATTCCTCCTAAATGTATGCAACATTTTCTGATAATGAAAGAATTATGATAAACGATCTTAGTATATGTCTTAGACCAAAAGCCGTACTGCAATGTACTGTTTATTCTTAATGAGAAATTTTTTTTTTTAACTAAAAAATAGTGTTGTACTTTAAATACGAGCTTGACCATTATTAAATAACAGAAATTCATTAATTATAACAACAAAATAAATAAATTAATGAAAAATTTAGAAATAGATTCTGCTAAAAAGACGACCAAATTCTTCAATATTTTTTTGATAACTGAAAACAAAAATCGTATGCTGCAAAATATTTATCATTTATACAAACCTTAATGGTACCAATAATAAATTTTCGTGTTAGAATAATATTGTAAGAAATCCTCGTGCTAACTTAACGAAACTGGAAAACGTACAATAAGAGAACTAGAGAGAAAGAATTGTTCTTTTTGTAAACAAAAATTAAACTGGAAACCGAAACTGGAAATTAAAGTAGCAAAAAAACAGCTGATTGTGTTGCTTTTTTTTTCTATTGTTCTATTGTTCTTATAGCAATTTTTGTGTATCAAGGACGTTGGCAATATTAACACTTATTTTTAATTAATTATCTTCACCTACACAAACCACAAATTGTACATATATTTTCAAATTGTTGAACAATTCGAATCTTTTGTTTTTATATGATTCCCATAGCACATAACATTCGAAATGTTAAAAAATCGGTACAACATTTTTTTTCTTGGCTCTAAAATCTCCTCCTTACACTTACTTTACCTAAATAAAATTGAAATTTTATGAATAAATAAAAAATTTAATACTGCCGATAATTTACTGAGAATGAATTTTTGTGATTTTTATACCCGTACGAACGTATGTTCGAAGGGTATACTAAATTTGCCTTACCGTTTGTAACGCTAAGAAATAACGGTCTTAGATATAGACTCAAGTGTATGTTTTTGATCAGCGTCAAATTCTGAGTTGATTTAGCTTTGTCTGTCCGTCCGTCCGTCCGTCCGTCCGTCCAAATTTTCACAAATGATTTATTGTACTAAGTGCCAGAACCCTATTTAAATTGGACATGATCGGGGTACCGGTTCGGGTAGCTGCCATACAACTTCAAAATTTATTTGGCTATATCTCAGAAACTATAAAAGCTATGGTATTGAAATTTCACACAAACGAATATATTAGTAGGGCCAATGCGTCTGATAAAAGTCGTTGAAATTACTTGGCTCCTTCTGGTACCTGCCATACAACTTCAAAAGTTATTTGGCTATATCTCAGAAACTATAAAAGCTATGGTATTAAAATTTCACACAAACGAATATATTAGTAGGGCCGATGTGCTTGATAAAATTCGTTAAAATTTCTTGGCTCTTTCTGGTACCTGCCATACAACTTCGAAAGCTATTTGGCTATATCTCAGAAACTATAAAAGTTATGGTATTGAAATTTCACACAAATGAATATATTAGTAGGGCCAATGCGTCTGATAAAAGTCGTTAAAATTACTTGGCTCCTTCTGGTACCTGCCATACAACTTCAAAAGTTATTTGGCTATATCTCAGAAACTATAAAAGCTATGGTAATAAAATTTCACACAAACGATTATATTAGTAGGGCCGATGTGCTTGATAAAATTCGTTAAAATTTCTTGGCTCTTTCTGGTAGCTGCCATACAACTTCAACAGTAGTTTGGCACGCACTGTATTTTGAAAAACACATTGTACTGAAATTTTGCATAAATTAATATACGGCAACTCCATAGTCAGTTATGGCATCTTTATTCGCACATAGGATAACAAATTCGTACGGGTATCACAGAGTTGACAAGGTCAACTCTATTTTTTTCTCGTTTTTAAATGAAATTAAAATAAATTCATGATTATTTTTGTTGTGATAAGCGATTTCTTATGAATATTAAAAACAACAAAAATAAATATGCGATGGGATCAGCCCATAATAATTATAATATTATAACTAAATTGTTGCCAAAGATTAAAACACTAATTTAAATGAAATTTTTCTATAAAAGGCAGTAAATATTGACTTTTAGTCAATAAGCCTGGAAAAATGTTGGTGTAATTGATTGTTAATGAAATGAAAATATCCAATTATAGTTCCAGAGACATATCCTGACATTCCCAATAATTAATCAAACTGTTCTGTTACTAAAATAAACTCAGATATAAATTTTTATAAAAATCGATTCAGCCGAACTCAAGATAGAGGAGTACACAAATAGATTAATAAACAGACAGACTTTCGTAGCACGGAGAAAAGTATTTCCAACGAAACCTCGACATACAAATTTTGGTGACATCATACCACCTCCCTTATGCAATGCGATCGGTATCAAGGTTAAATTGATAATAATTAAGATCAGCTTAAATTGTTAGAATGAACTAATAATTTTTATTTTGAAATTTTTATCACTCAAAATTTCTATAATTTCAGAAAACAAAATTAAAATTTCTTTCTTAAGTCGTTGTAATTGTTAATCGTTTTTAACGAGCTTCAAGCTTCTAAGTACCAGCTACTTTAAGTTTAAATTTAAAATTCGTAAAGAATATTGCAAAATTTACTATGATTAAATTTATGTTAATAGTTCAATAACAGACTCATTAGTAACGATGAATTAATTGGGAAATTTCGAAAATCTAAAAAACAATTATAAACGATTGTTTATTCGAATTAATTTTACGGAGATTAAAACTAAACTTTAAAACGATTTTCAAATATTTCAATATAAATATTAAAGGTTTACCAACCGTAATTTTAACAGTAATTTTAACATTGTAATTATACCCGTACGAACGTATGTTCGAAGGGTATACTAAATTTGCCTTACCGTTTGTAACGCTAAGAAATAACGGTGTTAGATATAGACTCAAGTGTATGTTTTTGATCAGCGTCAAATTCTGAGTTGATTTAGCTTTGTCTGTCCGTCCGTCCGTCCGTCCGTCCGTCCGTCCCAACGATAACTCAAAAACTAATTGAGCTAAGTTCACCAAATTTTCACAAATGATTTATTGTAATAAGTGCCAGAACCCTATTTAAATTGGACATGATCAGGGTACCGGTTCGGGTAGCTGCCATACAACTTCAAAATTTATTTAGCTATATCTCAAAAACTATAAAAGTTGTGGTATTGAAATTTCACACAAACGAATATATTATTAGGGCCAATGTGTCTCATAAAAGTCGTTGAAATTACTTGGCTCCTTCTGGTACCTGCCATACAACTTCAAAAGTTATTTGACTATAGCTCAGAAACTATTAAAGCTATGGTTTTAAAATTTCACACAAACGAATATATTAGTAGGGCCAATGTGTGCCATAAAAATCGTTGGAATTGCTTGGCTCCTTCTGGTACCTGCCATACAACTTCAAAAGTTATTTGACTATATTTTAGAAACTATTAAAGCTATGATATTGAAATTTCACACAAACGAATATATTAGTAGGGCCAATGTGTGTCATAAAAGTCGTTGGAATTGATTGAGTCCTTCTGGTACCTGCCATACAACTTCAAAAGTTATTTGACTATATATTTCAGAAACTATAAAAGCTGTGATATTGAGATTTCACACAAATGAATATATTAGTAGGGCCGATGTGCTTGACAAAATTCGCTAAAATTTCTTAGCTCTTTCTCGTAGCTGCCATACAACTTCAATAGTAGTTTGGCACAACCGGAATTTGGAAAAACAGATAGCACTGAAATTTTGCATAAATTAATATGGTAATACGGCAACTTAAAGTCATAGTCTGCCCCAGAGTTAGTTATGGCACATTAGTTATTCGCACATAGGATAACAAATTCGTACGGGTATCACAGAGTTGACAAGGTCAACTCTATTTTTTTTCTCGTTTTAACATTGTTTCAACATTTTTAGCCTTATAGGCAGTTAATGCGTTTTATACAAAATAAAATTTTTTGCTAATTTAATAAAATTAGTATGGTAAATTATAAAACTAAAAATACGAGTACAATAACATTAAAAAAATTTTTGTGAGAAATTTGACTTTTTTCTTTTTCCAAATTTGAGTACACAAGTACAAAACATGCGCTCTCAATTTTATTCTAAATAAATTTTTATTTTTGAGAAAAATTTCCCATATTTGTTCTACTCAATAGTCTCAGTAGTAGTACAGTACATATTTTATTTGCTTACAAATTATTTTTTAACGTTATATCGTAGTATAGTACTGAAATTTACCGAAAGAATTTTTTTTATACTATTAACGTATATGAAAAGAAAGCCGCAAATATACAAAATGAAATTAAATGAATGTAGGTTAGGTATATTTGTGTATGTATTTTGAAAGAAATGGGAAATTTTCATTTTTTTGATACCAAATTTTTGGGGTATTTAATTTTGCAAAAAAAAAAGAATTTTGTTAAAATAAAAACTTTTAAATTGAATGCACTTTCAGTCAGTTAATATTTGCAAGTCGGTTTGTTACGGTGGTCTTGTATAAACGTTGAAAAAAAAATTATTTGTTTTGCGTTATGTTTGAAGCTATAGTGAACTTTTGAATAAAAAAACAAAAAAAAAAAATAAAAAAATGAACAAATGAGATCAGTTTTTTCTTTTCATTTCTTTTTTTAATATTTTATAAATTAATTGAAAAAATATTGAAAAAGTGAGAAGAAATATGAATTTGTGTAAGGTGTAAAGAAATATGAATTTGATTTCAATAGCGGACTCAAAGTAACGGTAATGAATTTAAAGAAAAAGCTACCAACAATTTTAGAACGGTGACATTTTTTTTGCTTTTTAATAGAATTTAAAATTATTGAAATTAAAATTAATTTCAGGAAATTGAATATGTACTCGTATAATAAAAATTTTAAATTGTTCCTAATTTTAAACGTTTCTAAATTTAACACGGTTAGACTAGCTGTTAAACTCAGATACTCAAATGACTTAGCCAAGAAAGAAATTCTATTGTAGTTTTCAGTAGTTTCTCTTGTAATACCGGACAATTATTTGTTTTTTCATTAATTGTAGTGAATAAATATAGGTACTAGTAAAAATTTTTTGATTTAAACGATCGTATGTTCCGATCTTGTATTAAATTTGTAATACTCGTATTATGTAGAAATCGTAATGTGTTGGAATATTTTATAAATTTTTAAAAGTAAAAAATTTGAATTTGTCGCACATTAGAATTTGTTTTTGGAGTGTTATGTTCAAAGAAAACTTCTTGTATTAAGTGGCTTTTTTAATATTAATTAATAGGAATTGTTGATAACAGAAGAATTGAAACTAAATAATTATTGATGATATATTTCTTGAAGACTGTTAATGAAATATATCAAATTCTTATACTGAGTTTAAAAATATATGCTGGAATCGAAAATAGATACGTTTAAATTGAAATTCAAAGCAGACATTTTCCTTTACATATTTTTGAAATAATAAATATAAGGACATGTTTGACTTTGCCTCTACCGCGCACTGTTGATTTGTAATTATCACACAATTCATAATGAAGGAACTAGAGGAAACCGAACTTTATTGCAATTCTTCTTTCTGAGGTATGACAAAGCAATAAAGAGATGTCACATTGAAGTCTAAATTTAATTCATTTAAATTTGATGTGTTTGGTTAAGTTTCTTTGATTTGATTGGAACTGCATGCTGTTCCTTGTGCTGTTTTTAATTTCTGATTAAAGCTATAAAGAATGTTGAGTTTGAATAAACCATATAAAATATATATTCCGCACACAAAAGGTGTATATTTAGTCAATTTTATTAGCCATATGTAAGTCGCAAGTTGGCATCTAAATTTTGTAAATCTAGCAGATGAAAAAAATGTTGAGTGAAATAAGCAGAAAATTTAACTAAAATTTATATTAAGGTTTATTTGGCTTGTATTGCATGTGAGTAATGAATAACTTATCAGCTAGTAATAAGATAAACTAGGATATTAGTAGAGTTCTGTAATTTATTACTGAATTTTAAAATAAAATCGAATTTCAAATATGAATGATTAACAATTTTTGAAATTAAATGAGCTGAATTAGACCAAACTATTCTGTGATGGCTGTAGTCACTTATGATCCGGTTTCGATAATAGAACCAAAGGGTCTTTCTATATAATTTATATATGAGGAACACATTTCATAAAATCTTGTGGTAAAATGATGATATTTATTAAATTTCACAATAATATTTAATTAATTATTAAAACGTATAGCCGATGTCATAACAATTTGCTTATTCAGTCATTAATAACTGTATTTTATATAATCTTATGCGATCATTATATAATATTGTTAATTTATAAATTTGCTAATCTGCAAATCAATTAATAAACCTATCAACATTCTACTCATATATGTACATATGACATATGGAATAATTAATTTATTTCTCTGGTAATTTTACAAATTAAAATTCATTACAAATTTTAAAACCAATTAAAAGAATTCGAAAATAATATAGATATATCCACATTATATATTCATATGTTTAAATAATTACCATACCTATAATATTATTCATATATATATATGTATATTAACATATATTCACAACCATTACTAAAATTTACAAAATTTATTTAAATATTTGCATTCTTAATTAATATATAACACATTCCAATATCCAATGTTATAATTTTCCAATTTCATTAAATTATATTTATTTTCTGAATTCCTAAAGTACCTCATAAATTTAAATAAGGAGCTATTTAAATTTAATTTAAAATTAATCGACAATAAAATAAGGCAATTTACAGAATTTAAAATTCCAACCGCGAAAGTAATACCAAGATAAACTGTTCAAATAATCCAAACACTTTTCCCTTTCATTTGTAAAATGGTTCATTCTCACAACACAGTAACAAAAAAATTAAGACCAACAACGAAACTTCCTTCTATATTTTATGTAAATTGACATTGCCTGAAAAAAAATTACAATGTTTTATGAAATAAAAGGAATACAACGTCATTGTTATCAAAGGTTAAAATAAATCAATTAAAATTGTAAGTTTTACGAAATTGTACTCAAGAAATTTGAGTCATAGCTTTTATTAAACCAATCATTGTTTTTCCGTTACGAAAATCAAATGGGAATTCAATAAGTGCATTTAAATGTAGAAGAAAGTTCGGTCTTGGAAACACGTTTTTTGGTAATACAAAGGACATTCACTTCTCCAGTCCAGATTATAACCATTAGTCCACTCACATAATATTCTCAGTAATTTTTTCGCACATTTCGACAGAAATTTTACGAATAATGCCTAATTCAATATAATTTTTGAAAGCTGCAATTGGTGTTGCGTGGTAAATTAAATACGAACTTTACAGGTTATTTCAAGGAGGTAACAGATCATACAATCTTCGTGACGAAAATCTGAAATTGATTGCTTATATAATGGTCAAATAGAATTGCTCATAAAATTTTGAGTACAAATAAATAAAGATTAAAATATCCGTTCGGGCATCCCTCAATGGTGAAATGGTAATCTAAACGAGGTCGATTTGTTTTGCAATATTTTGTGGAGCTACATTTGAAATTTTTTGCGCATACGAAATCTATTTTTAAAAAAATGTTTGTACTTTGCTGCGAGTTGGTTGCAGGTCCTTCTGTAACAAATTTAATTCTATTGATTCCATTTGCATATTTTCTTACAGTACTGTTCATATAATAATTTAAAATAAATTTTACATAAAATGATATTACTCAAATATGTACGTTGGTTTCATATGGATTTACAGTAGGTATATTGAGATAAAAGTTTTATAATATTGTTACAGAATTATTAACTGCGATCTACCAGGAAAAAAAAAACCGACCAGCAATCCTGACCTCGTTTAATAAAATTTTATTTGTCCTATTATTTTTTTCTCCCTCTCTTCATCCATAGACTTCATTCTCAATTTTTTTTTTTTTCTTTACACATCTCTTGACCAGAGAGCGTAGCGTACATTGCACCTTGAAAAGAACAAAAAAAAAAAAAAATAAAAAAAAAATTGAACATAGCACTCGACATAAAATTCATTCAGTTTTTTCGGAAGGTTAGAGAAAATTGGCGGCAAAGGGAGGTTATATGGAGTTAGATGTATTGAAATTTTCGAGATTTTTTTTTCTCTTTACATTTTTATAAATTTTTTTTTTTTTGATTTTTTTTTCCTTTTTTCCTTCAATTTTAATCCGGTTTTCATTCCTGTTATCCTTTTTATGCGGTAAATTTTTGATAACTTGTGAAACGGATTAGAGAATCTATTCAATAACGTACAGGTCGAATAAGTGGACAGAGAATGTGGTTGTATTTTTTTCTCAGAATCATATTATAACGGTATTTTTTAACCTTAGGTTAATTCTATTTAAAATTATAAAAAAAAGAGAGCAAAAAAAAAGATTTTTTTAACTGTTGGATTTTTTATTCCTTTTTATTTTATCTTTCTTTTTCTATTTTTTGTATTGTACAGTATGGTAGTCCGTTTTGAAGAGAGTCCTTAAAAATTTTTAAATTTAACAATAAATATATATATATGCTCGTATATGTATGTATATATATGAAAAGTAATCTATCAATTTTATGGTGCAAAAAAATTCAGTTGAAAATAAAAGAGTTGAAAAAATAAAAAATAAAAAAAAAATTGTGAAAGTTTTTGTTAATTTGTTGAAAAAAGCGAAAACAGTGAAAATTGAATAAAAAAAAACAAAGTAGAAAAAAAATGCACACAATAATTAAACAAAAAAATTGGCGCTGTTCTTTTGTCGATGACAGCAGCAACTACTGTACAAATCACAGTGTGATGCTAACGGTACAATAATTTTCATTTTCGATTTTAACTTTAATTTTTCCGGATTTTCACTTTTTGTTTTTTTTTTTGTTTAATTTCTTTTCTGAATTTTCATTTTTTCGTTAGTTCTACTTATTTTTGTATTCTTATATATTAATTTTAAAGTCCTTGGTAGAAAATAATAAAAAAATGTAAGGAGGAAACACAGTAGCAGGGTCATTAAATATGTGCAAAAAAGAAAGTTAATGAAAATTTAACACAAAAAAAAAAATAATTAAGAAAGAAGGAAAATAAGTAAAAATTTAAATGTTTAAATTTTGATTAATAGACTAAAAGTAAAAAATAAAAAAATAGCAAATTTAAAATAAAATAATTAAAAAAATAAAAATAATAAGGTGCTTGTAAAAGAAAATTCATTCAAATTAATACGAAAACGGAGAACAAAATTAGATTTTGAAACAGCTGAGATGACATCAATGTCATCATCATCTGGAATGATTTCAAAGGCGGCAACATCAAATTCTGCATCATTCTCGTCAATACATTTAATAGCTATCATACTAATTTTATGCTGTGACGGTAAGTCTATAATTTTTATTTTTACATTTATTATTTAATTGCCAAATTAAAATATTTAAATGTACTCAAAGAAAAAATCTTAAAATTCTCAAAATTTTTTAAAGAAATCATTTTGTTCCAATTTGTTTTCTAAAAATTGACTTAAATATTTATGGTAACTCGAAAAAGGAATGATTTATGTAGGTACCAAGAAGGCGACATTTTAAACACTTAGGTTTTGGCAAGTGACCCAGTCGTGCCAAGTTAGTTGATGGGTGCTCTTGGATCAATTCCGCTTCAGAATCTGTAGAACTGCCCTTGAATGTACACTTCTTGATTTTGGGGGAGAGCGTGCTCCGACTAGTCATTTTTGTGAATTTGTGTGGGGGCGGTGGTCTCTGAGATCCATTCAAGTTGATCCATTCCTGACGACATTGTTCCGGCAGAAGTACAATACGCTGCGGAGGTTATCCTTCCTTGGCTTAAGATTATCTATGAGTACTGTATAGACTTTAGACTTAACCTACATTCCAAAAACATGGAATGTTGCTAGGATGGCATTTATGAGATTTGGAATAATGAAAAGATTTCGAATGCATAAATTCTACAATACCATATCTCATGCTACAACCTATTGTCTCATAAAGTATAGCAAATCATGTTTGAACAGATGGAAAAAGAAAAGATGTAGTGACAATTTTGAGAATTTCAAATCCAGTAGCTTTATTAATACATTGCATACGTCCTCTATAAAATCCGATTTTATGGATATTTTCCCTTTGATATGGCTAAAAGCGCAAAATCTATAAGTAAGCTGTTTTTTTTATAAGTAAATTTAGGTAAAAAATAATATTTTTTTCAAAGAAATATCAATGCCAACCAATAGCAGCTCCGTTTTTACATTTTAATAATTCTTAGTTTTGCATTGAGGCAAATTTTTTTTAGAAAATGCCATACAAACATCCAAAGATTGACTTGTTTAGATTTATTTTGCAATAATAATTTATTAAATTTAGGAAGAATTTTATGTCCAGTACTTACTTATTTGTAACTATGTCAGCAATCATTTATTATAAAAAATTATATTTGACTTCTGCCTTAATTCGTTACGAATTCAATTTATTTAATTAAAAATACGATTTAAGATAATCCGATTTAATATTTAATATATTTAAATAATTATTACGTCTACAATTTAATCTCATTTTGCACATATTCATGTTTTTAAATTGATGAAAATTTATTTATTAAGAATTAATCAATGAGTCAAATGAGTATTTTAAAAGAAATATGACTCATGAATTCTTATTGAATCAATTAAATACCAAATTTTTATGCTATATACTATTATATTTTATATATTAAGGATTAATTTACAGAGTGTTTACTTTTGGATAACTGATATATGAAAATCGACAGCGAAATCTTTAATTTCAATGTTACAAGAAATTTATTCTTATATAACACAAAGTTAGCACCGAATTCTTGATTTTGCCTATTTATCGCTTGGAAAAAAACATCAAATAATTTGAAATAACCCTGTTTATTATGTAAATTGTGTAAATTATTATTCATGCACTTTTAACAAAAATTTTTTCAAAGCAAAGCTCAATATGAAAATTTTTAAATTCGCTATAATAACAATGACTTACGAATATTAAACAGTTTTAAACTTCAACCTTAAATGAATATGTCGAAGAGCGTATGGCTCATACGTATTACACATAAATACTGTTATATAATATTATATTTCACATAATAAGCGTATGTATATGTTATGTAAGTTCCTTTTGTCATATTAAGTATCAAATAGCATTACAGTTTTTCATTGATTCAGTTTTTTTTTTTTAATTCTTGCTATCTTTCTACAGATTTTTCCTTTGATTCGAATACATTTTTATTATGGAAATAAAATCTCTTTAACTATTTTATGTCACCTACAAATTTTATTAACATATTATGTACATATATGAAAAGGAATGAAATTAACAAATTTTTGTTTACTTTTTATGTACAAAAGAATTTTAAATTAATTATATAAAAAGATTTTATTTTCAAAATAGATCTTTCAATCTTTTGTATTCTTTATAGGAATGAGAATTTATTCAATGTATACTGGGTGATTTAATTAAATCAAATGTATTATTAAAATAATAAAGTTATTAAAGAAAAGCAAAAATCAAGAGAGTTGATCATGTAAATTCTCTGATATACTCGTAGATACAAATGAGGATAGATACAATGAATTATTTTAACACTTTCTAGATGACTGGCGCAAGATTCATACAATGACGAATTTCTTTTCAAATAATGGGCTTGTTATTAAAAACCTTTCTGTAAAAGTTGACTTCTATAGTTTTAATTTTATTAGAATATATATGTACATATATATATAACTATCATTATTTGTATGGCAGCTGCCATGATTATACTTATATACAATTTGGGATAAAAGAATAATTTCATTTAAATTCTAAAAGAAGCTTCATTATATATTTAATTTGTTGGTAATTGCAGCATTATAGTCTGAATAGCTTCGAGATCAAATAAAACTAAATTTGTAATATTTTATGGCATTATTTATTATAAGAACTCGTGTAAACTTCACTGTTCGTTCGTGTAAACGATTATAAAGGGTGTATTATTATAATCGGTTTTTTTCGTCTCATCACTAAAGCCTTAAAACTTTTTGATAGGGTCAATTGCTCTAAAGTTGAATGAAATGTACTGAAAATATTAGTTTCAATTGTAAACTAGTTAAAAGGAGCTCTGCATCATTATATTATTATGATGTTTGGTTAATTTATAATTGGGACAAACTAAAGTGAATTAGATAATGGTGGGCAAACGGCGTCTTATAACCCTACTGACACCAAATTCGATATTATAAATATTATTTCCCAATAAATGATAAATGGAACGGTAAATTCATAATGCCATATTATTCTAATTTACATTAATTTCTAAAATTTCATAAAACAAACAAACATTTAAATACTAAAAGAATATTTCGGAACACTGTCTTATTTTTAGCGCATATTCACAATATTGGAGCCAATGAATCATAATATGAAGTAAAAACAAATTTAAGACGAAACTTTTACAAAATAATGGAGTGAAACTGTGTTGAAGACAGTCATCGAGAAACAGTTTGCTAGAAACGTGCGATAAGAGCTAATCAATTAATTCCTTTCATTTGAGTGATACTCAATCACATTTTGCTGCCTAGAATATGCAGTGATTATAAAACGTGATAATTTTTATTGGCATAAAACTACAGTTTTTATGGATTATCGAGCTTTCAAAAATATTTTCTTTTTTTAATTTTACTTGTTTAACAAAATTACGGAACAATTGTTTCGACTTTGTTTTTTTTTTGTCCTCCTTTTATGCGAATATTTAAATCACATTTTCACAATTCATTTTGTAATTAATACAGGTTATTTCATCATATTATCCTTTTTATTATATAAGGTTCATAAAGAAAATATAAAAGGTTTAAAATGTAAAAAGTTAAAAAAATATCTTTTGTTTTTTTAAAAGCTTTTCAGCTATTTTGATAAAAATTATAACATAAAAATAAAAAAAAAACTCATTAATTGAATATTTCATTCATGATTAAGAATTTTTAATAATTGATTGAATATTTTCATCACCATTTTATTAAAAATTTCCATACATAATGCTCAAATGCGATATAGAAACGTGAATGAAAGTTTTTCATATTTTTTAACCTGGTGGATGAAATGAGATTTAATTAATTTTTTTTATTTGTTAAAATAATTTCTTTTCCTTGTATCCAATTGAATCGAAATTAAATTAAAAATTCAAAGCATTGGATGAGTAAATATCAAAAATAAATTTAAGAAGATTTAATGAAGTCGAAATAATCGGGAAATTTTCCGCGGTTACAACTAAAATTGTCTATTTTATAATATTGATTTGAATCGAATGCTATCAATAGTGTGTGTTATTATCATGGGGGATTCAATGAACCACACAGCACTTGGTATCTCTTTGCTCTTTGGGAAATTAAATGTGAACTACAAAGTTTTCATTCACAACTCAAAAGAAATCAATAATTACAATGATAGTTTTTTAAATGTCATACAATTTAACCTTTTAAATGCTTTTATAAAGTATACTAATTTAGTTTCATAAAAAAAATTTCCATTATTATTCATAATAGCATAAGGCCATCAGAAATGCTTATAATTCGAATGAATGTGTGTAAGAGTATTGTAAGTTTTTCTATAAGTGTATTTTTATTGTTTGGCGTGTCTTTTGACATTCAATTATTATTAATGAATTAAATTTTTATTTTAAAATGGAATTATTTTAATGAATTATTTCTTACCCTTTGAAGTTTTATACATGAGGACGAATAGCATATAAAGCTGACTTAAATCGTGGAACAATGAAATATTTTGCACCTTATTTTAGTTGGGATTAATATGCCTTGAATTAAAGAAATTTTTTCGGTCTGTTTATTAGTGCTATAAGATTTTATTGTTAACGGTGTTTACAGGGGATTATGAAAATGTCAACGCATTTCTTTTCGATTTTTAGGACGTAAGTAACCTTTTTGTAAAAATACCTTGAAAAATGTAAACTTAAATCTTAATAGAGTTTCGTTTTGCGGCATCTGAATTCTTTGAAAATCTTTCAAAAAAAATTCATAGGTCCGTTGTTTTCACATTTTAATTTTAGATTATAAATTTCAAGAAAATTGTTAGATTTCTTTGAATTAAAATCGGCTCGTAAAGGTCAAGTTCTCGACCTCTGGTATATTCTAAAAGTTGATCAATCCGTGCTTTAGCCGAAATAGCATATAAAATTTCACTTACGAAAGCTCGATATGCAAAATTTGGTGCCATCACATGACCTCTCTTATTGTATACAATGCGCCGTGTAAATATTTAATGTACATCACATTCTTCTTTGTACAGAAATCTAAATATATTTATGTACGTAACTATGTAAGTACATATATACGATATATTATATCTTATGTGTGTTAG